AAATTTAAAAAATTTTTTTTTCCCCCCCCAATTTTTTTTAAAAAACCCCTTTTTTTTTCCCCCAATTGGGGATAAAAAAAATTTTTTTTCAAAGGGTTTTTTTAAAAAGGAAACCAAAAAATTTCATTTTTTTTAAAAAAAAATATTTTAAAAGAAAAAAATTTTTAAAAAGGAATTTTTTAAAAAAAGGTTTAAAATGGCCCAGGTTCAAAAAAAAAAAAAAAAATTTTTTTTTTATTAAAAAAAAAAAAAAAAAACCTTTCCCAAAAAATTTTTCTGGGGGGACCAGGAGGTTCTATTTTTAGGATTTTTAAAAAAAATTAAAAAAAAAAAAAACCTAATACCGGTTTTTTTTTTTTTTTTTTTTAAAAAAAAAGAAATTTTTTCCTTTTTTTAAAAAAAAATGGAGGGCCCACCCCGGTTTATTTGAAACCCCCCTTTTTCCCCAAATCTGGGTTCCGGGGGGGGGGGTTCCCCCCCATCCCCAATTTTTTGATAATTTTTTAAACCTTTTTTAACCTTTTAAAAAAAGTAAAAATTTTTTGTCCCCTTTTTTTTTTTTAAACTTTTTTTTCCCCTATTAAACCTTTAATTTATCAACTAAACCAAACGAAAATTTTTTTTTTTTTTTTTTTTCCTTTTCCCTTTTTTTTTTTTTTTTTTTTTTTTTTTTTTTTCAATTTTAAAAAAAAAAAAAAATTTCTTTTTTTTTCATTTTTTTTTTTTTATTTTTTATTTTTCGTTTTTAATTTAAATATTTATAAAATGATAAATTTAAATAAATTTAATAATTCAAAAAAACTAATAAATAAATCATTAATAATAAATCAAAAATTAATATTAAATCAATTTTTTACCAGTACAAATAAAAATTTAAATAATAATGAAAATGAAGATTTAAATGAAACTAGTGTACCATATATTAAACCAAGAATTAATTTTCAATTTATTAAAGATAATTTCAAAAGTATTCAAGAAAATATCAATATAAGAAAATCAGGTATCGATTTAGAATCATTGATTAAAAACTATGATGAATATAGAATCGTTAAAAAAGAATTGGATTTTAAGAGATCAAAAAGAAATGAAATTGCATCACAAATGAAATCATTGTTAAAGAATTCGCCACAATCAGATCGTTTACAATTGGTTGAACAAGGTAAATTAGTAAAAGAAGAAGTTATATCATTAGAAAAACAACATGATAAACTATTCAATCATATCACATTGGAATCATTAAAAATTCCAAATAATACACATCCCGAATCACCCATTGGTCCAGAATCAAGTGCTCGTGTAATTCAATTGGTTAATGAAAAACCAAATTTTGGTAGTGATCAAAAAGTTAAAGATCATTTAGAGATTGGTGAGGAGTGTGGTCTTATTAAATCTGCTTCAAAAACAACAGGTCATAAATATTACTATTTCACAAGAGAAGCTGCAATGTTGGAAATGGCATTATCATTTTGGGCATTTTCAAAACTTTCATACAAATATGGCTTTACATCAGTAATTACACCAGATCTTATTCATCCAAATCTTGCTGAAGGCTGTGGTTTTCATGCACGTAGTGATGCCGATCAATTGTTTTGGATCAAAGATAGAGAACTTTGTTTGTCTGCCACCTCAGAAATACCATTAGCTGGTATGTACTCACATAATGAGCCAATTCATGAAAATGATTTACCAATTAAAATGGTTGGTTATTCTCATTGTTTCCGTCCTGAAGTTGGTAAAGGTGCCCAAAATCGTGGTATTTATCGTGTACATCAATTTAGTAAAGTTGAAATGTTTGTAATTTCAACTCCAGAACAATCAAATCAAATTTTAGAAGATCTCTTAAAAATTCAATTAGAACTATTCACAGATTTAGGTCTTCATTTCCGTGTTTTAGATATGCCAACTGAAGATTTAGGTGCTCCAGCATTCAAAAAATATGATATTGAAGTTTGGATACCATCAAAAAATGATTATGGTGAAATTAGTAGTGCTTCAAATTGTACAAATTATCAAAGTAAAAGATTAAATATAAAATATACAAATAATAATAATAACAATAATAATAACAATATAATAGATTTAGATAATGATGGTAATAATATTAATAATAATAATAATAATAATGATATAAATAATTATAATGTAATACCTTCAACTTTAGAAAATTCAACTCAAACTTTTGCACATACTTTAAATGGTACTGCTTGTGCTATACCACGTTTAATTTTAGCAATTTTAGAAAATAATCAACAAAAAGATGGTTCAGTATTAATACCAAAGGTTTTAAGACCATTTATGAATAATCAAGAATATATTTATCCATTAAAAAAAAATAATTAATAAATCATAGATTAAAAGTTTACCTTTTTTTCCTCCCCTGTTCCCAAAATTAAAAAAAAAAAAAAAACTTTCATTTTTTATACAGCAGGATATTTTCTTTGAAAGCTGTGCAATATTTTTTTTTTTTTTTTATTTTTATATTTTTTTTTAAATATATATTTGTAAAAATCATTTGTTTTAAAAAGATTTATTTTCAGATATTTTTTTTTATTTTTTAAAAAATATTTATGATAATACACTTCGTAATACCTTTCACCCATCATCCTCAAATGGGTGGTTTTTTTTTCGACCCTGTCGTAAGCATTAAAATTACATGCTTATTATTGCTATGTGATTTTTTTTTTTTTTTTTTTTTTTTTTATTTTTATTTTTATTTTTATTTTTGCTCAAATAATTACGTTTTTTTTATGTAAATCATTTTATTTTTTCTATTTATATATATTTTATATTTATTTTTATAACAAATAAATTTACAACCAGTACAAAAATAATAAAAAATAAAAAAAAAGATTTTTTATAAAATCAAAAAAAAGGAATTCGTTAAAATCATTTTTTTTATTTTTTTTTTATTTTACACGAAAAGGCAAAAAAAAAAAAATAAAGGTCTAAAAAAAAAAATACTTTAAAAAATTCATTAATAAAAAATAATATATAAATAAATAAATAATATAAATATATAAATATATATAAATATATATATATATATATATATTTTTAAAAAAAAATGAATAAAATTTTTATTTTAAAAATTTTTTTTATAATTTTTATAAATAATATTATTTTTATAAATTGTAATATTATTGGATCAAATTATACATTAAAAAATGTTAGAGTTTTAGATACAGATGTAGAAATTATTAGTGGTTCAATTTATTTTGATGAACCATTATATTTATTAGAAAGTTATACATGCGCAGATTTAAATACTAATTGGTGCCAAGACCATCTAGTTGATATTGGTTATGATCCAGATTGTCCACCATGTGATTATACAGTTTCTGGATGTAGTAAAGGTTACGATGATAGACCATCAAAATGCAAAGCATGTAATGAAAAAGGTATACCAGGTAATAAAGATAGAACCCCATGTCAACAAATTTGGGAAGATTTAGAGTTGGGCGTTAGTAAACGTGGCTTTATTCCATCGGTCAACAATGCACACATTATGTATAGAATCTATTTACCATTATCATGTATAGGTTATAAAGTTTCATTCAGAACTATTCAAGGTAAAGCAAATTATCTAGCAGATTTTAATCCAATTAATCCAGTAGTTGGTGCTACTTCAAGAGCTATACAATCAGAAGAAATTGATGCATCATTTACATTTTGTCCAAACACATTATCATTTAATTATACAGGTACTTATGAAACAGAATATCCATATGGAACTCTTCAAATTGGTGTTATAAATCGTGGTGTTACCGATGTAGTTTTAGATATCATAATAGAGACTATTGATATTCCAGTTCCAGAAAATAAACCATGTACTCAAGTGGATCCAGATATAGAATGTTTGGAAGATGGTCAGATTTTTTACGAACCAAATTTTGTTGATGAGAAATCTTTTATAAAATATAGTTTTGAAATTAATGAATGTAAAAATATAACTTTTTCAACTGTAACTTTATTTAACGATGTAGATATTTATGCTACTGACGAAGATCCATCAAATTTTTCAGAAAATAATTATAAATGGGGTTCTTCTTATTCATGTAAATTACAATTATTATATATTTATATAAATATAAAAAATATAAATATATTAATTTTTTTTTTTTTTTTTTTTCTAAAAACAAACTTTTTTTATATATAGTGGATGATACAATTATTATACAAATTTGTCCAGATATAGGTGAAAACTCAAAAATTATATATTTTGGTGTTCATATATATTATTCAACAGATTTCTTTTTTACAATTTCAACTAAAGGTCAATATAAATTAACAGATATTTCAACTCTTCCAACAGTGGGTGGTACTTGGGCATTAACTGGTTCATCTTATTTATCATTCACAGAAAATTCAAAAGAAAAGAGATTATTTTGTGATAATTATGATTCAAGATGTATAGAATTCTTCCCATCAGCACCAAGAGTTAGTAATAATCCATTATATCCAGTACCAAATACATTTGGAAATGGCGGTCAAGGTTTATCTCAATTCGATGGGATTGATCTTAATGAAACTGTAAATGCTGCACAACCAAATGTTTATCAATTTGGTATAATCTCTTCAGTCACAGTCAATGGTATTATTTATAATTATTTCGATCCAAATAATTTAGAGACAACAAAAATCAATTTCCTCAATCGTTTAGTTTATTCAAATGGAAAACATATTGAAGGATCCGTTTCAATTGGCAATAGAGTAGAACCAAAGTGTAGTTATCAAAAGTTTTTAAAAATTATAGATGAACAAAATATAGTTTTAGATAAAATAGATAAAACTTCAGCAACTTTAATCAATGGTTTACGTTATTATTTCGATATTTTATCATTTGAAGATGATTACAACTCTTGTAAAGTAATGGCAGAGTCTTTGTTGGTTTTCAATTATTCGACAACAATTCAAAATACAACTGTTTGTACTGGTACAAGTGATAAGAATCAATATTTAAATGACCCATGTTGTTCATTGTATGCCTCTTTTGGTTCATGCTGTAGAACTAGACCACAAGAAATAACGACTAAAGTTTATCTTGGTAATAATGATAGTGTTCATGATCAATGTTCATTCCCAGATTGTGCAAACTCTGTATTGGAAACATTTGTTAACTCTGTAATTGGTTCTCAATATGATCAATGTAAAGTTTCAAATTCAGAAGAAAATTATTTTACAAATAATTTATATCAAGTTTTTCGTTCATGTAAATCTCAATTATCACCAAAAAAATGTAATATCGATAGTGACTGTGGCGGCAACAATTTTAAATGTAATCAAAGAAATGGTGTTTGTCTTATTCCATATGAACAAGTTGAACGTAATTATATTGGTTGTATTTTAGATAATATTGCAGATCCATTAAGAGCAGAGGTTATTAGAGTTTTAAATTTTTCAAATATTTCAGATAATCAACAACTTATTGATAAACTATATGAAGCTTATCTTTTCAACGATTGTGTAACAGATTATGGCGTTCAATCATGGAGTAGACTTAGCTATACTTATTTGCCAAATAGCGACGTTGTTGGAAATTGCTATCCTCTCGCAAAAGGTTTGGATACAGCTGGTGGACTCGATACATATGACAATTGTTACCAAGGCCTTAATACTTTTTTTTGGATAGCAGAAGTATATTCAAATGAATCATGTCAAGAACTTGCAAGATGTGATTGGATGGGTGATGAAGGTCACTACAACAGTGAATCCTTTAAAGATTGTCTCGTTAATCCACCAGAGTATTTTTGTGGTGATTGTACCGATCCAGTTAGAACATGTTTTGTAAATAAAACTATAAATTCACAAAGCACTTGCGAAAGTAAATATGTATGTTATGATAGGGATTATACAGACGAATTACTATACTCGTCAGGTTATGAAACAGTTGACGATCCAAGTTTATGCGCAGAAAAAGCAGGTTCTTGTTCAGTAGGTTGTGGTCTAGAATGTGATACAGACTTTGGTGGATGTGTTATTAAAACTGACTATCTCTTTTGTATAGATGGTGATTTATCATATAACCCAAATGATGGTCAATATTATTGTGCCTATTACATATCAGAATCACAATGTCAAAGCATTGGAGGTGAATATAAAAAGTGTCAATTCAGCGATGAACAGTGCACAATTTGTAATGATCCAATAAATGGTTGCGATACATTTGGTATAAGATGTAGAATGAAGGATATACCTTGCAAAACTAAACAAGAGTGCGAAGCTGCTGGTTCCTGTTCGGATAAATACTTTTTCAGTACTCAAATTTCAAACTATCCAACATATAAACCCAAATGTTTATTCCCTCGTACTACCATCCCACTTTTTACACAAAGTTTACCAACATGTGAATACGGTACACAACAAGATACACCATATGGTTGCTTTAATTTAACATTAATGGACAAAGACGAATGTGAGGCAGCAAATGGTATATGGTGGGAAACTTTCTCTCAAACCGAACAAGAATGTACAAACTCACCCAAAGCATGTTATGGACTCGATACTTCAGTTGGTTATCTCTTACCTTTAACCTATCGTTATAATTCAAAATCACAAGCCGATTGTTCATGTGCAGGCGAAGAATGGAAAAATCCTTTCAGTTGGACCCAGGGTGTATGGAGTGAGGGTGTTGCTGTTCCATTAAAATGGATTAAAAATGATAACCCAATCACTCAAATTGCAAAAACCAAGATTTCATTAAATTTCTCATATTTATTTAGTATTTTTAAGGATGCAGTATTTAGTAGAAAAACTCTTCTTTATAAATCTGAAGTATTATGTCGTAGTAGTAACTCTAAAAACTCATTAGAAGCTCTTTCATGCAGTTGTACTGAAGGTGGTGGTACTGATACTTGTTTCGAAAAATTAGAACCACCTGTATTACAAGTTATCAAACCTTGCTATGATGGATTAAATACAACAATATTCAATAATGGTACAATAACATTCAAAGCAGGTTCAATTTTAGAAAATAATTGTGTCTCTATTAGTATTGGCCAAATCTTTAAAGAATCTTTCCTCTCTAAAAAAGTATTAGGTCTCTCATCAACATTTGTCACCTTTGATAGACCAGAAGATTATTCAATTTTTAATCAAAAGAAAGCAACAATTGGTAAACTATTGGCCGATGGCATCAATTTACAATTCTATGATGTTGGTGCCGAATACTTTGAATTATGTATGTCCCTAGACAATTCAAGAAATTCAAAAGTTTTCCCACATTTAGATTTTTCACTTTTAATTAATGAAAAAGAAGGTGAAATGAAACCATTACAATGTAATATTACAACAGATTCTTATGGTAGATATTGTTGTGACATTAGTGATATTAAAGTTGGTAAAAATTCTTATTTCTTAATAGAAAGAATTGGTAATTGGGAAAATGAAAATTATAAACCATTCAAAAGTGGTTCATCAGCAATGCTTTATATTTTAGCAGTATTTTTCTGTTTAATGTCAATCTATGGTATTTTAAATCTTTCATTATTTATACTTCAAAAATTACTTTCAACAGAACCATTTAAATTAGTACATTTATTATTTTTAGTTTTAACTGCATTTTGTGTTATTCGTAAGTATTTAATTTAATTTTATTATTTAATTTTTTTTTATTAATTTTTTATTAACTAATTTCTTTTTTTTTTTTTTAATATTATTTATTTATAGGTTCAATATATTTTTTCATTTTACCAAGTGGTTATATTAAAGAAAGTACAACTGTTGGAAATTATATTTTAGTAGTATTACCAACATTCCTTTATTTTACAGCATTTACAGTTGTTATTGTTATTTGGTATATGTTAAGTAGCGCTCAATCATTTAATACCAATATTTATAAGAGAATCTATTCAATGATTTTCGTGATCAATGTAATTTTATATATATTTTTCATTATTATTGTAGTAGTATTCAATTTTACACAAGAAGATGACCCACCAACATGTGGAGGTAGATTATCAATTACTTTAGATCAAACTAGACCACAAAATATTGTATCAATTCTATATGCTGTCCTTCAAGCAGTACTTTCATTGATTATTGGTTTTGCTTTCATCTACTATGGTCATGCTGTTTATAAAAAACTTAGAGGTTTAACAAGTAATGTATCACCAGCTGCTGAAAAACAAAAGAAGAGAACTATTCAAATGGCCATTATTTGTAGTGCTGGTTTTGTTTTACATTGTATATTTATTATTATACTTGTAAGTGTTAATCCAAGTAATATTGTTTTTTCATTTATTTGTCTTATCATCACAGAAATCATTCCAGTAATTACACTTTTTGTTACCAACAATCAAGTACCAATTTATAGATATTCAAAAAAAGGTATTAAAGGTGTAGTTAAGTTGACTTCTTCAGGCAAAGCTTCTCATTTATCTGAAAGTACCGCTGTACAAAATCCAAGAAAATCAAATTCTAAAAGATCAATGTCTGAAAAAAATACAGATTCAACACAAAGTTCAATTACTCCAGAATAAAAAAAGTTTACTATAAATCTTAAAAAAAAACAAATATTTATGTTGTAAAAAAAAATAAAATTATTATTATTAATTTTTTTTAATTTAAAATGTTTTTTTATTTTCGATTTTTAGATAATAAATTTATTATTATTTAATATTTATTTATTTATTTATTTCTACTATTATATCATTGTATTATAATTTATTTTATTTATAATAATACTATTTTTTTATTTTTTTTATTATTATCTATTGTTGATGTTGATGATGATGATTTATTTTGGTCGTTTTTAAAAAATTTTACTGTTAATTTGATGATATTTATATATATTTAAAGTTTAAAAAATAATTAATGATGGTGGTGGTGACCATGTTTTTGAATAAATCTAAGACCACAATAACCACATGATTGTGGAGTGTTACCTTCTAAATTAATATAAACCATTGGGTGACCTAATGGACCATTACCTATAAATTTATTATTATGTTTAATATTATGATTAGTTTATTTTCAGATTATTTTATAATAAGCTGAAGAATTGTATTAAATGTATTTAAACACATACCACCATCACAACCAATTTTAGAATCTTGAACTTCAATTGGTTTAACTTGATGAATTAAATTTTCAGCTGATTCAACTGGCTTTATTATTTAATGGTAAATGTTAGTTTATTCGTATAAATTTTATTTTATAAAGTTTTAAAACTACTTACTTTAACATTAAAAACATCACTTGGTGGTGGAGTAAATTTAATAGTTGGTCCAGTAGTTCTTAAAGCTTGGTTAAGTTTATTTGCAAAATTTTTAATCATTTGGGCCATTCTTAAATATATATATTTGTTTTAAATTATTATTATATTCCCAACAATAATGAAAATGTTTTTAAAAAAAATTTAAAAAAAAAAAAAAAAAAAATTTTAAAAAAAATTTTTTTTTAAAAAATAAAATATTTTTCTTTTCTTTATTTTTTTTAATTTTTCATTTTTTCAATTCAAAAATTAATTTTTAAATGAATTTTGAAATTAAATGTAATTGGGGTATAAACAACATTAACAACAACAATGAAAATAGTAATACGAGAAATGAAAAAAATTTAAAAGATTATATAGTTTTTTTTATAAATGATAATGACAGTTTAGAAACACCTCAAGAACCAATTCAATTAAGTAAAGGTGAATGTCAAGAATCCTGTCAATTGGATTTAACATTATCAAATTCGAATTTAATTAAAATTCAAAGTATTTATATAGAGTCACAAAGTCGTGTTCAAGAATTTTTAATACATAAATCAAAGGAATATATAGGTACACAAAAATCTTTATTAATCGATGACTCTAATCCAAAACTATATTCTACAGAGTATATACTACCCAATAATATACCACCAACTACAGATTTATCAATTAAAGTAAGTTTTTTTTATATTAATTTTTAATTATTTTTTTAATATTTTATTTTTACTAAATATTTTATTTTTAAATTAGTTTTTATCATTATTAAATAAAGAAACATTTTTAATTTCAAAAATTATTTTAGATTGTAAAATAACAAATATAAAACCAGAAATAAATCAAATAGATATTAATAATAATAATAATAATAATAATAATAATAATAATAAATCTACAATACCAAATCCTAATCCTAATGATGTTAATAACCTTTTATCTTTAATGACAATGTTAAAACCTCCAAGCAGTAGCACAACAAATAATCAATTCTCAATGCCACTTCAACAAAATCCTATTACAACATCATCACAACCAACAATACCACAAATAAAACCAAAAAATGAAAATGAAGAAATTAAAAAATCAATTTTAGAAAGTGAAAATAGAATAATGGATTATATGGATAAAAAATTTCAAATAATATTTAATAAAATGGAAGAGTTGGAAAATAAAATAAATAAAATAAATAATGTAGTATAAAATTTTTAATCAAAACAATAAATTTTTTTTTTTATAATTATAATTTGTATTATTTATTTTTTTTAAAAAAAGGAAAAAAAATTAAAATGAATCTATTTTTTTTTTTTTTTTTTTTTTAATAATAGTTTATATTTATATAATAATATTATTAATTATTATTTATTATTTATTATTAATTTATTAATAATTTTATGTAAAAATTGAATCTAAAATTTTTAAAATTTTTTTAGATTCTAGTTTTGTTTCTTTTTCTGTATAAGTACCTTCTTCTAAAATATTATCATTTAATTTCTTTTTTTCATTTGCAGAGTTGAAAATATCTATATCTACAGTATTTTCAGTTAAAAGTTTATAAACAATAACTTCTCTTTCTTGACCTAAACGATGAGCACGATCTTCAGCTTGACGATCAACTTGAGGATTGAATGAAAGGTCATAGAAAATAACAACATTGGCACATGTTAAATTGATACCTAAACCACCTGCATTTGTTGAAAGAAGGAATACTGGGATATCTTTGCTGTTTGTAAAGTGATCAATAATATCTTGACGTTCATTAACTGGTGTTTGACCATCTAAACGAGTGAAACTTTCACCAAAAATACTGAGAACATCTTCTAAAATATCCAATACCTTTGTCATTTGTGAGAAAATTAAAACTTTTGATTTATTTTCGTGAATTTCTTTTTGAAGGATTTCTTTTAGTTTTATACATTTTGCGGAGGTTTCGTAGAATTGTTCATCATCGATCCAATATTTATCGGCTAATAATGGGTTTTCGCAAATGTTTTTGAATACTTCATAATCTGAAAAGCTTTGGAATAATTCTTTGAGTGCTGGAACGTCGTAACGATATTCGATCCATTCTTTATCATTTCTAGCTAGAGTTTTAACTATATCATCGATTTGCTCTTCAGTGTAGAAAATGTTTTTACATAATAATGGATGATTTGAAGCTTTACGGAGTTGCATTAAAATGTTATTCAACACGAATGAACCATTACCTTGCTTAATTTGTTTTGCCAATTCTTTTTGTTTGGCAGTTAATTTCTCTTCACCGTTTCCGTTTTCTACAACACTATCATCAATTGTTAAATCTAGTAAATCGCAATCTGGATCTAAAAGTGATGTTGATTTCTTTTTTCTTTTTTTGGTATCTTCTTTTTGTTTAATTAAATCTCTATTAGCCCACTGTGCTTTTGATCTTTTAATAACGGTATTATAAGTATTTTGTTGAAATTCTGGCATTACACATCTTTCAATGATTTCTTTTTTTGGTTTAAGCTCCTTTGAAACGGTACTTTTGAGACGACGTAAAATAAATGGTGATAAAATTTTCTTCATTCTAGAGAGAGCACTGTCGGAATCATCGCCTTTATATTCGAGAAGTTGATTTAAAAGATAATTGTTTTTACTGGTGCTACCAAAAATATGAGGCATTAAGAAATTGAGTAGTGACCAAAGTTCGTAAAGATTGTTTTGAAGTGGTGTACCTGTTAAAAGTAATCTATGCTTTGATTGAATTTTAAAGATATTTTTGTAACGTCTAGAGTCGCTGTTTTTGATATTTTGAGCTTCATCTAAAATTAAATAACTATAGTCAAATTTCTTGAGAAAGGCTCTATCTAAATTTGAGAACAATAAATTATAGGTAGTTAAAATAATATGGAAATCTTTCTTTGGTTTCATTTTTCTAATATCGTAACGTAATTCTTCTCTTTCTTTAATGTTTCCGTAATATCTAATAACTTTTAATGTTGGACACCATGTTTCTAGTTCTCTACCCCAATTGGACATTACAGTGGCTGGTACAATAATTAAATGTGGTCCACAGTCATTATAAGTTTCCATAATATGAGCTAAAACACTAATAGTTTGAACTGTTTTACCTAAACCCATTTCATCTGCTAAAATACCATTAATATTTTCTTTATAGAGTACTGCCATCCAATTTAAACCAATTAATTGATAATTTCTCATTGTTTTATTTATTGTTTTAGGTTGTGTAATTAATTTATTTTTATCTGTAGTTTTTTTGTTTATTGATGTTGTAGTTGTTGTTGTTAATTTTTTTTCTTCAAGCTAAAAATAAAAAATAATATTAGTATAAAAAATAATATTTTAATTTTTAAAAAAAAAAAAAAACTTACATCACTATTCGAGAGAATTTCAAGCATTCTCTTTGAAAAACATTCACATGCATATATTAATTTTTCAATTGTTGGTTCATCATCAATATTTCTACTACCTTCTTCTTCCTCTTCTTCATCTGGAATTTCCACTGTTTCATTATCAGAGTCAATAGTTGTTGTGACTGATTTTTTATTTTTTGATTTTGGTTCAGATTCTTCTTCAGTATCACTATCATCTTCTTTATCGCTAATTTCAATAACCATTGTTTTCTTTTGTTGAGAAGCATCTTTTCCTTCTTTTCTCTTTTTATTTACTAGTGGCAGCTCTTCATCTTCGGTATCACTTTCTGATAGTGAATCTTTAACCATTTTTTGGACATGATTTTTAACACTGGTCGCATTAAATTTAGGTGAATTAAAACCTTTACCAAATAAAGAGTCATCTTCCTCTTCTTCTTTCTTATTTTCCTTTTCCTCTTCTTCAATCTTTTCTCCCTCATCTTCAATTTTTATACTTTCTTCTTTTGATTTACCAGTACTTTTGTTGTATAAAAAATTTGAAAAAAAATCATTCTTTTCTGAACTGTTACCCATACCAAGCGGTCTATGTGTGTTTTTAATTGATGCTAATCTTAAAATTTGTGGTGTACCATTATTGGTTTTATTTGGTGATGTTGTAGTGGTTGTTGCTGCTGCTGTTGTTGCTGCTGTTGATGTGGTTGTTGTTGTTGATGATTTTTTTGCAAATGAAAAGAATCTACTTGGCTCAGTTTTCTCTTTTTCATTATTTGGTTTCTTTAATATCCATTGATCCATACTAGCCTGTTTTAATGTTTGTTCATAAACTAGTTTTGATTCCATAAGCTCTTTTTCTTTGTCAACTGTCGTTTTCTTTTTAGACTTTGGTAAACAAAAATCATCTGAATCATCATCTGAATCTTTTGCTGCTAACTTTTTTCCATTTGTTGTTTTCTTTACTACTGTTGGTTTTGCTGTAGGTTTTGATCTTGATGATGGTGGCTTTTTACTATTCTTTTTTATACTTTCTCCATCGCTATAATCTTCATCAGAATTATCATCTTCGGACTCGTCAAGATCTAAATGCTCACTTTCAGATTCTTCGGATTCTTCTGCTTGGTCTTCATAATCAGAGTCATCATTTGATTCGATTTCTTCTTCTTCCTCTGATTCATTTTTTATAAAACTTTTTGATATATCTGTTCTTTGAATTCTTGTTCTTCTATTTTCTAAAACAACCATTATTTATTATTGTTATTATAAATTATTATTTTTAAACAATAATTATTATTATTATAAATTATTATTATAAATTATTATTATAAATTACTATTATTATTTTATTATTGAAAAAAAAAAAAAAATTTATAATTATAAATTTAAATATAAAATATATTTAAATAAATATATTATTAATATAAACTGAAACAATAATTCGTTTTTGAAAACTTTAAAACAAAAAAAAAAAAAAATAAAAAAAAATATTAAAAAAAAAATTTAAAAAAATTTTTAAATTTAAAAAAATAAAATTTAAAAATAATGAAAGCGGGAAGAAAAAAGAAAAAAGAAAAAAAAAAAAAGAAAAAAGATTATTTATTTGTTTGAAAATAAAATTAAATATATATAAAAGAATAAAGGGTAATTTAAAACTAAAAATTAAAAAAAATAAAAAATAATAAAAAAATAAAAAAAAAAAAAAGGAAAAATAAAAAAATTTCTTTTAAATTGCTTTTTTTGTTGAATTCTATTTTTAATTTTTTTTAATTTTATTCCTTTTTTTTTTTTATTTTAATTTCATCTAATTTAACAAACTATTTACTTTAAATCCTTAAATAAATAAATAAAATAAAAAAAATAATTGAATGAAAAAAGTTAAATCATGAACTTTTAAAAAATATTTAAATAGCTTTAACTAAAAAGAAATGTTTACAAATAAACAACACATTAAGTTTTTAATTTTTCATCATTTATAACACACTTTTATCACAATGTTGATTTCAATTAGAGTAATTTAAAAATTATTTGATGTACTTTTTTTTTTTATTTTATTTTTATTTTTTGCCATCCATATTTAAATTATTTACAGTGGATTATTAAAATAATTTTATTATATTTAAATAATTTACCATAATATAAATTTAAAATCAAGATTAAAAAAAGATTTATTTATTTTATTGTATTAAAAGTTCCCCCAAATGATTTATTTTTTTTTTTTTTTATATTCTAAAAATAACACCCACACACAATAACATAATTATAAATGGCTTTCGTTCACATTAAAAAAAAATTTGGGTAAAAATAAATAAAATAATTTAAATTTTTTTTTTTTTTTTTATAAAATTTTAGATTTTTGTTTTTATTTTTTTTTTTTTATAATTTTCTTTTTCTTTTTTTTTTTTTTTTTTTTTAATTTTTTTAACTTATTTGTTTTTGTTTTTATTTTCGAATAAGGCACAAAAATTTTTCATATTCTCTTTTTTTTTTTAAAAAACTATATTTTGTTGTCTAGTAGTATATTATTATATAATTTATATTATTAGATTTAATTTTTAAAATTTTTTTTTTTTGTATTTTTAATAAATTATAAAATTGTAATAATAATAAAATAAAATAAATATATATATAATATAAAATGTTTAAATTAAATGTTTCAAAATATAGACATACAAATGGTAAAGTTGATAAAAGAGAATTATGGTACCCAGATGTAAATACTTCAGGATCATCAGCAGCAACTACATTTATTAAAGCAAATAGTAAATGGATTGGTTTAAATTGGCAATCAAATACTGGCACAGTTGGTATTATTCCATTAAAGTCATATGGTAAAAGAAAAGGTGAAACTTTTTTAGTACATGCACATTCATCCACCCTCACTGATTTCGAATTTAATCCATTCAATGAACACCAATTAGTAACTGCTTCTGATGATAGTACAATTAAAGTTTGGAATATTAGAGAGGCCATGCAAAGTGGAGTCAATACATTATCATCACCAGCTGTAACATGTAGCGGTCATTCAAAATCTGTTGATGCCATTGCATTCAATCCAAGTGCTGAAAATATATTGGCATCAGTTAGTCAAGATAAAACATTAAAGATTTGGGATTTATCAAGTGGTGAAGAAAAATTCAGTTACTCTTTTGACAATGCTCTTCTTTCAATCTCTTGGAATTATGATGGTAGTTTAATATTTGCTACTGGTAAAGATTTAAAGAATAGAGTTATTGATCCACGTACTGGTGAATCAGTTCAAGTAGGTGATGGTCATCAGGGTGTTAAACCATCTCGTTGTGTTTGGTTAGGTAATTCACCATTCATTGCCACCGTTGGTTTCTCAAAGATGAGAGAAAGACAAGTTTCATTATGGAATAGTTCAGATTTATCAAAAGCAATTAAAACCATCACTTTAGATAGTTCAACTGGTATTATCAACCCAATTTATGATCAAGATGCTCAACTCTTATTCATTAGTGGTAGTGGTGATTCTACTGTTCGTGTTTTCGATCTCAATACTCAATTCACTAAAGAACCAGCTTTCACTGAAATTCAAAATGTTCCAACCGATACCCCAGCAAAAGGTATTTGTGCAATTCCAAAAAGAGCTTTGGATGTTATGGAAGTAGAAATTGATCGTTTATTAAAAGCAACCCCAAATAATATTGTTCCAATCACTTTTTCAATGGCAAGAAAATCAAAATCACAATTTGCCGATGATTTATTCCCAAATACTATTTCAACTAAACCATCTTTAGTAAGTATAATTATAATTTTTTAAAAATTTTAAAAAAAATTAATATTCATATTAATTAATTTTTTTAATAGTCTTCAAATGAATGGTTATCAGGTGAAAATAAAGAACCAATTTTAATGAGTTTAAATCCAATTGATAATCCAGTACAAGATTTTGATGATTTATCAGTTTCATCACCATCATCAGAACCAGAAAAGAAAATGACATTTTTCGTTGATGACAATAATAGCGATAACAATAACAATAATAATGAATCATCAGCTTCAGAAAATTTACAAGAAGAACAAGAGGAAAAATCATCACCAAATACATCATCCCCAGCATCACCAGTTTATTCATCATCTTCATTACAAAATGAAAATATTAATCGTACTGGTTATGTACCAAAAGTTGTAAGATCATCAAAATATAGACATGTTGTAGGTACTACCGCTCAAAAGAATCAATTTTATACCAATCTTAAAGTTAATGGTAGTACAAGTAACACCTGCATTGCTGTTAATCGTGAATATGTTGCTGTTCCATATCAAGGTATTGGTGGTCCATTAGCTGTTATTCCACTTGCTAGTAAAGGTCGTCAAATCACTGTTCCATGTATTGAAATTGGAAGTCAATTATGCGATTTTGATCTTTCACAATTTAATAGCTCCATAGTTGCTACTGGTTCAGAAGATAGTCACGTCAAAATCTTTAAAGTCCCAGAAGGTGGTCTTCCAAAGAATGGTAAAAACTATACCACCGTCGAAGCCGATCTTATTGGTCACAATAGAAAAGTTGTTTCAGTTAATTTCCATCCAACCGCAGAAGAGGTTTTAATTTCAACTGGTGGTGATATGGTCGTTAAAATTTGGGATCTTAACTCTGCTCAAGAAAAACTCTCATTCGATGGTCACACCGATATGATTACAAGTGTCGATGTCAATTACACTGGTGATTTATTCTTAACAAGTTGCAAAGATAAGAAAATGCGTATTTTCGACCCACGTACCAATACATTAGTCTCTGAAACCATTACCCATAATGGTGTTAAAGGTGCTAAGTCAGTTTGGTTAGGTCAAACCGGTAATATTTTCAGTGTTGGTTTCAATAAATCCTCAGAACGTGAATATCAATTATGGGATTCAAGAAACCTTTCAAGCCATTTAGTAGAAAAGAAGATCGATCAACTCTCTGGTGTTATTACTCCATTCTATGATGAAGATTCTGGTGTTGTTTACCTTGCAGGTAAAGGTGATGGTTCCATTCGTATGTTTGAAATTAACAATGAAGATCCATACGTTCATTATCTTACCGAATATAACTCTGGTTCACCACAAATTGGTGTTGCTAAAGTATCACAAAAAACTCTTATGGACGTTAAAAAATGTGAAATTTCACGTTTCTACAAAGTTACTGCTGATACTATTGAACCAATTTCAATGACTGTCCCAAGAAATCGTACAGAATTCTTCCAAGATGATATCTATCCAGATACTCGTTCAGGTAATCCATCAATGACCTCTGAAGAATGGTTCAATGGTGAAACTAGACAATGCGAAATGGTTTCACTCCAACCACAAGGTATGGTAGCTCTTTCAAATGCTCCACCACCACCAAAGAAAGAAGAAAAAATCATTGCACCACAAATTGTAGATCAAACACCATCAAAAGATCAATTTACAAACTCACTTTTATCACGTGTTTCTACTCAAAATGCTTATTCAAATTGGGAACAAATTCAAAAATTAAAAGATTCAGTTTCAAGTGGTATTACTTTTGAAGATCCAGTCAGTGATTCAGAATGGGATTAAAAAAAAAAATAAAAAAAAAAATTTATTTATTTATATATATATTTTTTTTTCTAGTATTATAAATAAAAAAAAAATTGTTTATAGTTTTATTAAAAAATATTTTATAGCTTTATTAAAAATATATATTTTATAGTTTTATTAAAAAAAAAAAAATATACATATATTTATATAATATATAATATTTTTTTATTTGTTTATTTAATTTTTTTATTTATTTTAATTTGGTAATACTTTATATGGATTTAAAATATTATTTGGGTCCATGGTATTTTTAATAGATTTCATTAAATGAATTGAATTGGATGATTTTGAATAATGAAGGTGATTAGGTTTCATTGAACCAATACCATGCTCTGCTGAAATACTACCACGGTGTGAACTTGTATATTCATAAACAAATGGTTCGATCATATCGAAAATTTCTTTTTGATATGGTTTCTTTGGAGTTGAAATATTTAAATGTAAATTTCCATCACCTACATGTCCAAAACCAACAACATTGGCTTTACCCTCAAATTTATTTCTCATAATTTCGACAATTGAATAAAATTGATCCATTGGTAATGATAAATCATATTTATAAACTGCACCTTCTTTACCTAATGATTCTGTAATTGATTCTCTTAATTTCCAAAATGCTGATATCTAAATAAATAAAAAATTATTAACAAAAAAATATTATTTTATACCATTATTATATTTTTAATATATTACATTTTTAGTATCAGTTGCTAATGAACCATCAACAATTAAATCATCGTTCATAATTGATTCTAAGAAATCATTTAGCTTCTCTGAATCGTGAGTTTCATTAAAGCCAGAAGTTTCGATTAAAATATAAAAAGGTTGCTTATTGTCAAATGGATCTTGAACTTGTTGATGAGCTAAAACGACATCGATGCAAGGTCTATCCATAAATTCAAAGGCAGAAAGAATGTCTCCCAATTGAGATTTGGCTCTGGTAAGAATAGTTTTAACCTTATCAAAACTATCACATGTAAATAAACCTACATTGACACTAGTTGGCTTTGGTGGAGTAATCATTGAAACTTTTGTAATAACACCAAGTGTACCTTCTGAACCAATAAAAAGTTGTTTTAAATCATAACCAGTGTTATCTTTTCTAAGGGTTGAAAGGCAATCAATAATTGAACCATCTGCTAATACTGCTTCAATACCTAAAATATTACCGTGGAGTCCACCATAACGAAGTAAACGAATACCACCTGCATTTGTTGAAACATTACCACCAATTTGGCAACTTCCTTTAGCACCAAGATCAATTGGTACTGTATATCCCAATGGAGAAAGATAAGATTCAATATTTTCTAAAACTGTACCTGATTGACATGTTACAACACCTGTAATTGGATCAAATCCTTCAATTTTATTCATATTTGCTAATGAAAGTATAATTTCATCATGAACTGGTACACTACCACCAACCAAACCTGTATTTCCACCTTGTGGTACAACTGCAATTCTTTTATTTTAAATATTATAAAACAAGTACTAATTAGTATTAATATTTTATGTGAAAACTTTAAAAACCATAATAAATTATAATACAAACTTTCTATTATTACAATACTTTAGGATTTCGGAAACTTGTTCGGTAGTTTTTGGTTTTAATACTAATGATGATGTTCCTTTGTATTTCTTCATCCAATCTTGATTAAAACCTTCAACATCTGATGGATCTGTTAATACTGAATGTTTATCCAAAATATTTTGAAAATAATTTATATCTTGATTATTAATAGTTGCATATTTTGAATCTCTTTCTGGTTTGATGATTGTACTATAATTTTTAACTTGTCTAAAACATTTTTTTAAATTATTATTTTTGATTATATTTGTTAACATTATTTATTATTATTATAGTACTATTTATAAAAGTTATTAAAAAAAATAGTAGAATAATATTAAACAAAAAAATAAAAGATATTATTACTGTTTTTTATTTTAAATAAAAATAAAAATTATAATTTTTAATTTTTTTTTTTTTAAAAAAAATTTTCATTTTTTTTTCTTTTTTCATTTTTCATTTTTCATTTTTCATTTTTTTTTTTAAATAATTAAATGAATATTTTATCAAATTCTAATAATAATAATTTTAATAATATTAATAGTAATAACTATGATGTTTTAAAATCAAATTTTATCATTTTAAAATCAATAACAGAGTCTGTTAAATCTTCATATGGCCCCAATGGATCATCAAAAATAATAGTTGATGAAAATTCAAAATCGTAAGTAATAACTAAAATATATGTTATTTATACAACTATACATAAAATTTATGTATTTAAAATGGTATATTTTATAATTTAATAATTAAAAGAGTTTATTTCAAAATTAAAAAAAATAAAAAAATAAAAAAATAAAAAAAAAATAAAAAAATAAAAATAAAAAATAAAAAATAAAAAATAAAAAAATATCTTCACATAAATACACTCATCACACAAATTAAATGAAAAAATAATTAATAAATTTAAAGAGATTATATTCGGTGATTAATGGTAAATTTACAAAAAAAAATAAAATTTAATATGAAGTTTTTTATTTAATTTTATTTCTTTTTTAATATGTTGCCAACAAATAATATTAAACTCAATCAAAATAAAATAGACTTTTATGGGGATCCCTCTCCCATCATTAAATAATAGTTATAATAATATTAAAAATAACCACCATAAAAATCACCTAAATAACACTATGATTAATCATTATATTTTGTGATTTCGATTTTTAATATATTTTCAATAATTTATAAACTCAACTATTTATAATAATCTTTTTTTAAAATAACCATATTATTTAAAAAACCAGTTTCTTCAAAATCTACCACACACCTTTTTTTATATTTATTTTGTTTTATTTTCAAAAAAATTAATTTTTTTTAATTTTTTTTTTAGGGTTATTATAAGTTCAGATGGTTTTGTTATATTAAAATATTTTGATATTAAACACCCCATTGGAAAGTTAATAAAACAACATTTTTTAGATAATATCTATTTGCTTTATGGTGGTGTCTCTACGTCGTTAATTTTTTCTTGTGCCCTAATGGAGAATGCTTTAAATCTTTTACACCGAGGTTTAGATTTAAATTCAATAATTAAAGGTTACCAAATTGTAAGTTTTTTTTTAAATAAAACAAAAAAAAAATTTATAAAACCACAAAGAAATAACGAATTTCAAAAAGCACCACACAACCACAATCTTTCAATAGAAATTTCTTTTATATACCCTAGACTATTAAAAAGACAAGTTACTAACTTTTTTTTTTTTTTTTAGAGTTTAAAATATTCATTAGAATATCTAGATGAATTAGATTCTATCAAAATCGATTTATATAATAATAATAACAATAATAATAATAATAATATTAATGATAATGATATTTATAAAATAACAAAAAATCATTTATTAGATATTTTAAATATAATTATACAAAAAGGTCAATCATCATTTAATAACGATTCTAATAATATTGATAATAACGATAATAATTCAGATTATAAAATTTTAAAAAATGTTATTGTTGATGCAATTATACAATACCCAGATTTTATAGATTTAGAGACTAGACTAAAGTGTATTAATTTTTCAACTGACCTTCTTTACGAGAACTTTAATAACTGTATACAAAATCAAGAAAACATCAATATAGATAATAATCAAGGAATTAGAAAATATAAATCAGAATACTGTTTAGTAGAAGCCGCTTTAATAGAAAATGGATATCTATTTGATTTACCAAAACCATGCAGTTTTATAAAAGAGCTTAAAGAAGAAGAACCAAAAGTAATTTTTTTAAATTGTTCATTAACAAGAGAGGACTCAAATATGCAAATCCAAGTAGAGTTTGATAATCCTGAAAAACTTTTAGCATGGAAAATAGATGAAGAAAATTATTTAAAATCAATAATCACAGACATTGCAACAAGACTAAAAGTAAACACAATCATTTGTACAGGGGATATAGACCCAATTATTCTTGATTCTATAAATGAATTTAATATATTGGCATTTAAATTTATACCATTAAATTATTTCAAAAAATTAGTAAATAATAATATTTATATTAATAATAATAATAATAATAATAATAATAATATTAGTAATAATAAAATAATTTATAATTTAGATGATTTAAAATTAATTAACGAAAATAATATATCTAATAATTTTGAAAAAATAACTATATATAATAATAATAATAACGATAAAAAAAATAATAATTTTTTAAAATATTATTTTAAAATTAAAAACTATATTCAAAATAATATTCAAAATCAAAATTATAAAATGGAATATAAAATGGAATATAAAATAGAACAAAAGACCATTTTAATTTTAACGGAAACAACTATCTATGCCCAACAATTAAAAAAGTATTGTGAAGATCTCCTTATGTCTCTCAATTTATTAGGTAGGGATAGTGAAAGTAGTGGCAATGATATTAACAATAAAGATTTTTTAGATTTTTTTGGATTTTTTCAAAGTGACGCCATAAAAAAAAATTATCTGAAAAAAAGATTTTTTGCAAAGATTTTTATTGAAGGAATGGGCACAGCAGAAAAAACTATAGCAAGAAAGTTGTTAGAAAAATCTACCCAAGAATCCTCTCAATTAAAATATCCTATGGAAGCTTTCTCTCTATCGCTCAATTCAATTTCAATTTTTTTAGATAGTTCTGATGATGTGAAAAGTAAAAAAAATAGTGAAAGTAAAAACTCAAATATTTATGATAATTATTTTTTAAAAAGAAAACAACTGGTAGATTCTTTCAATTTAATTAATTTGTTGTTCAAGGGTAAATATACACTATGGTTATATATTTTATTTTGTTTTTCTTTTTTTTCTTTTTCTTTTTCTTTTTCATTCCCAAAAACCTTTCTCAACCAAAATAATTTGTGGGCAACTTTATAAAATTATAATTTATTGGGGAGGCATTTTATAAAATTATAAAACTGCTTACATCATCAACCCCATTTTTATTTTGATAGTTATTTTTTCAGTTTCTCAAAAAAAAAAAAAAACCCACACACAAAAACTATTTCTTCATTATTTCATCATTCGATTGTATATAAATTTTCTTTCTCGAGCATTCCTGCTAAATATTAATCTTTTTTATTTTTTTTATTTTATCACAGTAAACGATATCATTGGCAAATAGCAGTAATAGTAATGTGTAAATAGAAATAATAATAATTTTATTACCAACGCTTTTTTTTTTTTTGATTTTCATCCGGCTGGTTTTTTTTTATAAAAATAAAAAATAAAATTTTTAAAAAAACTAAAAAAATTATTTTTATAAAATATCTTTTTTTTTTTGCTGTTTAGGGCACCAATTTTATTTTTTTATTTTAAATTTTATTTTCTTTTGATTTTTTGTGCAATAAATTTTATAGTTTAAGTGGTGTTAGAGTATGATTTTTTTAAAATATTTTACTTTTTTTATTTTATATCATCATAATTACCATATTTACTTCTTTTTTTATTTTTTATTTTTTTTTAAAAAAAGGGTTTTAAAATGCACGTATAAATATAGAAAAATAGTTTTAGATATTTCAGTAAATACTTTTTTTTTTATTTTTTTTTATTACGCTATTACGTCTTTTCTTAAAAAAAAGTAGATATTTATAATTATCATAAAAAAAAAACAACAAACAATAAAAATTATATGTGGAACAAAATAAAAAAAAGAAAATAGAACCCAATAAAAAAAAAGTATCACAATTTTATGCTTTGAAAACCATCACAATCACATTTTCCTCCAAAACTTAGTCACTATGCATAAAAAAAAAAAACTTAAATTTAAAAAAAAATTTTAAAAAAAAAAAAATAAAAAAAAAACTTAAAAATATCAGCATCACACTACCAACCCTTCTACAATCGTTCTTTTTCCATGCATGTGCAAAAAATTTATTTTTTCAATAATTAATAATATTGAAAAAGTTTTGGAAAATTTCCCATCAGCAAATTTGAACAAAAATTAACACGTACCAAGCCACCATAGTTGTTGTTTTTATTTTTTTAGCTTGAAAGATTTTTTTAAATTTTATTTTTTTATTGATTTTTTTTTTAAAATTATAAAATTTTAAAAATTGTCTTTTGTGTTTTTTTTTTTGTTATTTATTTTTATTTTTTTATTTTTTTTTTTTATTTTTTTTTTCCACCTATTGTTTTTTTTATAAATTCAAAAAAAATAACATTTTTTTTTTTTTAATCCCATATTAATAATAACAATAAAATTTCATAGTGATAATAATAAAATTTACCATATATCAACAAAAAAAAAAAAAATTTAATTATTCTATTTATATAATATATATATATTTATTTTCATTTCAACACCGATTCAACAAAAAAAAATTTCAAATTTTTTTTTTTGTAAATTATTCATTTTAAAAAAAATAAATAATTGTTTATAAAAAAGTACGAGTAAATTTTATTTTAGGGTGACACATCATCACACATAAAATATCAAAAAATAATATTTTATAAAAAAAAAAAAAAAAAAAAAAAAAATTAGTAAAAATAAATAATGAATAATAAATAATAAATAATAATAAACATACCAACTCTACATTCATCAAAAATAATAACATAAAATAAATTTATAAAATTCAAAATAAAACAGTTTTTTTTTTTTTTATATATTTTTTAATCTTGTATTTTTTTCTTTATATATAAATAACTTTAAATCATTTTATTAATTTAGTAATTTTATTTCAGCTAAATTAAATACTACCATCAGATTATTTAAGACAAAATTAACAAGATTTAAATTTACTTTAAAATTTTTTTTTTCAAAAAAAGAATAACAAATCTCAAAAAGGTAAAAAATAATATTTGTAAAGGATATTGTACTTATTTTTTATTTTTATTTTATTTTATTTTATGTTTCTTGTGTTAAAATACCTCCACTACTTTTACACTAAGTAGATTTTATTTATTGTTCTTGTTGTTCTTGTTGTTGTTTTAATAGTGTTATTTTATTTTTAATAAATCTTCTTTGAAATGTATTCAATTTTTTTTTCATTAAACATTTACACACATGCACAATAATAATAACAATTAAACAATAATAAAGAAAAAATTATTAACAATTTTATTAATAAAATTGGAAATAATCACAACTTAATCACATCCACAACCAATATTTGAATTTAAATCTATCATTCTTGACAAATTAATTCTTTAAAATTTTCATAAACAAAGAAAAAACAAAAAAAAAACTATTAATCACACACATACCCCACGTATACCACTATTTTATCTTTCCCACACAAAAAACTATATTTTTGTTTGTAACTCTTTTTATTATGTATCTCTTTTTATTTTTTATTTCACATAATTTAATCAAAGTATTTCAAAAAATTGGTGTACTAGTGTTATATTTCTCACAAATAAAAAAAACAGATAAACAACTATAATAATAATAATAATAATCATTAGTTTTTTTTTTAATATTAATAAATCGAAAAATTATTTGGGGTGATTGAACTCAACAAAATAAAACAAACACACACATCACATATTTTTTTTATAAAATTATTTTTTAATAAATGGTATCTAAAATGGGTTTATTTCAATATTGTTATAAATGTCTTATTTTTTATAATTCTTCCCCTATTCATTAATATATTTGGTCTTAGATAACAAAAAATAAAACCATAAAAAGT